TCTGTATATGGGAAATGGATGTAATGTCGGCCTAAATGCCCCTAATTTTATAAATTCAGCAATCGACTAAATGTTCAATAGGACCAAAAATATCCATTAGTTCAGTCCCAATGACGCGTTCATCAAGATTAAATTGATAAATAGCAGATTTCTAGCGATGGGCCCAATCTTAGGCCAACATTAGAGCCATTTCCCCTATTCATTAGTTTTAAATATTCTGACAAGCGATTAGATGATGATGATAGTGGTTTACCACCCATTGTAGCACGGAAACTAAGTCCGACAGCAGTAGGCTCTCTTCTCTATTGGTCTTGATCAAGCTTAATAACCTCTGATTGTCCTCAACATGTCACTGTATGAAGGGCCAAAAACGGATTGGGTAGATCGATAGGCAAAGTCGCCTATACGCATCTACGGAACAAAAAAGAATCTCCTTCCAGCAACTTGATCAGCCAATTGGTCAAAACAACAAGCCCCCAAACAGGAAGATGCCCCAATGAGTAGGGAGAAGAGCCCGCCCTTTATCCACGAAATGTTATTAACAGGGAGTTGGCATTCCCACTCTCCCCGTCCAAATCGCTTCAATCGGGTGCCCTGTTGAACCGTCCCTTCCCTTTTATATATTTATTTCAATGTATATACGAGTTGATTGTTATGATTATTGTCAATAATACTTACATTTCGATGACATTATAGAAACCAATCTTGAATCGTAGACCAGGTCCATCAGCAATACACTCGTTCCGAGAAGGGGCTCATGGTCAGGCATGGAAAATCATTTACATTCAGTTCATGCAATCATTTACATTCATTTGCCTCTAACTTTTTTCATCAACAGCATTCCGCAAAATGATGTATAGAGTTTTAGTAGGGTTTTTTTTATTAGCTACAACTTTTGGCCATAACTCAAATCTGTATCTCTTATGCATCACGAATTAGAGCGGGCATAACATGTTACTGTTTTTCAGTGAATGTAAAATACATTCACTGAAAAACAGTAGCGGCTTCTGTTCGCTCTGGTTCGTCATACATAAGAGATACGAATTTGAGTTATTTGCAAAAGTTATAGCTTATAACATCTACAAAAGCTCCATACATCATTTTGCGGAATTCTGTTGAAGAAAAAAGTAAGGGCCAAATGAATGTAAATGAATGCATGAAATGAATGCAAATGATTTTCCATGCCTGCTCATGGTCATCTTCTTCTTCTTCAAATATCAAACAGTGTAAAATCAAATAAAAATGTTTCTGTATGACAAACACTTTCAGACATAAACGAGAATATGGGTGTATATCTTCACTGTAACTTGCATTTTACTCAGGAACTTTTGAGCAAACTGCAATCACTCTCTCATACTCGAAATGTGCCACGACCAAATTGGCACAACGACGCCCTATACGCTATTTGACCAAAGTGCAGGGAATTTTAAATATTCTGGCAAGCATACCAACATCAAGAAGTCCATGTATATGGAAAAGTTTCGGATGTATTTTCTTTCCGATATAATGTTATATTTTTTTCGGTATGATACCGATCGAGCAAGGTCGTTTGTTCGGTTGGTGTGAAGGACAAGGCTTTTGTTTGCACGGGTTTGCTGCATTATTGGAAATAATAGATGCCGTGAGCACATTCGATGTTGGGCTTTTTTTTTCAATTTATTTATTTTGAAAGCTTAATCGCCTTAGCTTTACGGAGCCGATATTTCATTGTTTGTAGATAAACAAGTTTAACTTAATACTATATCTAGTAGGGGTGCAGAACTCCCATGGAATTTCGTTTAAATACTCTAGAAATTCATCTCGGAATGCCCAGAAAATTATCCATGATTATCCAGGGGTGCAGAACTCCCATGGAATTTCGTTTAAATACTCTAGAAATTCATCTCGGAATGCCCAGAAAATTATCCATGAAATTTTATTTGTATTTCATTATTAATTCCTTTTGGAACTATCCTCGGAATCCGGTACGATTGAAATTTTTTGAATTTATTTTGAATTATACTCTGAGTTCTCCTTGAGTCCTACTCAATAACTTATTTGGAATACTCATAAGAATTGGAGAATGATTGTACGCAATTTAGAAAAAATCGATTACGTACAGAGATTTAATTTCAGAAATTTTCCATTTTGTCGGTGATTCCGGATATCTTAAAGACCGTTTCCTGACCAGCCGGTAGTAGAATACTATTTCATATATGCTCATGATTTAGAGAAAATCGCGGATCTTTAGGTCTACTTTCAGGAATTGACCGTTTTCCCGGTGAATCCGTATTTCTGAAGTGCACTCTCAGGGGTTTTCCCGTCCCAACTGGCCAACCACAACTCCAATCGGTTCCTTGTCTGTTCCGTTCGAAAGATGATAGTCATTGCTTTCAAAAGGTGGCTGAATCTTAAAATTTAGTAACGGAATTGCCGTTGCCAGTCATGTCAACATGAATCGACACGCATTTTTCTCGGAACTTTTCCAGATTTTTTCGTTCCGGTTGGTCAACCATAGGTCCAATCGAGTTTCTACTTTTTTTCTTCTTGATTTGTTTTTCGTCGATCTTGTTTTTCGTGCTGAGCACCGATGCTACCGCCGCCAGGGAGGCAGCTCCCACACCTGGATCCTACCTATCGACCCATCAACTCATGAACCGGGGACCAACGGCTTTACTTCTCCTCCGAAGGAAGACGTGATCAGAGATGTTATGACGCAGAACATCAGGGCGGCGCCGACTGGGGTTGAACCCAGGCCTGCTGGGGTGAAAGGTAATCACACTTACCACTACACCACCGGCGCCGATTTCAATTTTATCTAGATGAACGCGTCATTGGGACGGTACTAGTGGATATTTTTGGTCGATGTTGAAAATTTAGTCGATTGCTAAATTTATGTACTGGCCCAAATGAGGGGCATTTAAGCTGACATTTCATCAATTTCCCCTGCTACCAAGATTTTTATTTCTAACATTGTAGAACGACGCAACCACTTCCTTTGATTCTATTCGATTCTTATTCAGCAGAAAAAGCATGTGAAATCAAATTATCGTACTATGACCGCTTCTTATTCGCCTATCTATATTCCGAAGCATGGAGAAAGCAGTGAAGAAAGCACTGGTTTGATTATATCAACGTTCGTGGTTCGAGCCCAGTCAGTGATGTCACATTTTTTTTTGAATTCCAATCTGTACTTTCATCGCAAAAAAATCTTTTTATTCTGTATCTGGCTGACAAAAATCTGTACAAAAACTGTATGGTTTCAGTGTGAATTTACCTAAATCTTCATTGAGTTCATTCATAGTTCAGGAGGAGTTTGTTCAATGTTTATAATCTTGAAAAATTACTAAAGATTGCTTTCTTTGTCTGTTTTTTAGTCTAGAAATCCTACAATCTTGATTTTTTAAGTGATTTGTATCTTTTCTACAAGTATGAAAATACAAAATATTTAGTACCAGTAGTAGTGAGAGACAAATCTGTTTTCGACTGAAAATTTCCTGGGTTTGTTAAAATGGCTTCTTTACCGATTTGAGTCCATTCAAAGATAATACAGTCATTTTTTATTTAGTGAAAAATATATTTTGATTTTGATGATCATAGATTCAATTCAAGCTACTCAAAAGGATGAAAAGATAATTTATCGGAATACATAAATATAAAAAAATAATATGTTCTCCTTTTTGAAAAATCTGTATATTTTTCAAAAATCTGTTATCTGTATATCAAAATATTGAAAAAAAAAAATCTGTATGTTTACCTATAAATCTGTCTATGTGGCATCACTGGTCTCAGTCCAGCAACTGGGCCACTGGTTCAAAAGGGAGAGGGAAGTATTGGGTATTTGCTCAAAAACCTTTACATAATTAGTGGATCAAACCCTGCTACAGAAATTTTCCAGATACGTTGAACCACTCAGTCAAACACACAAAATTTTCTAAAGTGATTACATTAACTCATATCAGAGCTGGCAATCCTGCCAAAGACGACACAAAAAATCCCAACCCAATTCCAAGCTCAATGCATCGAGCGACGGTTAAGACGCACCACCCCAACAACGAAGGAGCGACAACGATGACGGAAGACGGGCGACAGACATCGAAAACAAGTGATTTTTTTTTTGCGGTGCGACATCATCAGGTGGGGGAGCACCAAAGTGCGAGTCGAGATGGTTGGGGTGGTAACGCAGTCGGTCGGTTTTTGAAGGGACATAAAGTGAGGCGAAATTGAACAAATACAATTTCACCGCATACAGTTGGTCGTCGTTGCCGTCGTCATCGGTTCGGAAAGCTTTGCAAAGGACGAAGCTGGGGTCGGTGTAGTAGTGAGGTGGATTGGCGTGCACGCGCGTTCCGTTAGCACCAATACTAGTGCAACGGAGGGATTTTCCTCTTGAGTTTTAAGGTTTCCGTCCGATGGTAATAATTATTGGGGAGGTTTTGAAGGTGGTGAGTTGCAAAATAGTGCATCGAATCATTTTTCGAATTGTGTTGTTCTGATTGAAGTTCTATAAACTAAAATGAAGTAGTGATACCTTGTGATTTATTGGGACATTTAGCTTATCGAAAAATAATGAAAAGCAGTGCAAAAGATACTCAGTCGGCATAATGTTGAATAACGTGAGATTTTCATGTTTGTCAACGCGTAGAAGTTCTGTCATTTGATTTTTCTCATCGTTTTTCCAATTTGATCGTTTTTGTGACACCAAATGTTACTTTGTCATGTTTGGATTTGATTAAAAGTGTAGAAATTCGAATTTCATTTTTTTAAATATTCATATCCTTAGAAAAACCTGACTATCGAGAGCAAGAAATAGCATAACACATCTCTCGTTCAGGTCCACATGACGTCACTCGGTTTTCCCATTGCGCATGCCCAACAACTCGGCATTCGAGATCGTGATTGTCCGACAGCCCACCAATACATTTATCGACGGTCCTCGGGTGACATGTGAAAATTTGTTCCTCGCAGTACGCACGGGTGGAGTTTGCCTCGAAGTATGCAGTCGGAATCAAAAGGACGTCAGCTTTCGTGTCGGTCGCAGTGTTGCTGAATGTGGGTACGCTCCGTGCAGTCTATATTTTCCTCACCTTCCTCCCTCTTCGCTTTCCCACGAACCTTATGGCTATAGTACGATTACATTGTGGGAGGAGGATGAGGAGCTAGCAAAGGCTGTTTTCGTAGCTTGTGATAGTGGCTGTGCAGGATTTTTTTTCCATGTGGGGTCTTGTGAGGTCATAGAAAAGGTTTTTTTTTATGTTTTCTTGGAATGTTATGTAATTAGAAAAGAGTGATTCTAGTGAAATAAGTCACGACGTTATGGAGTGCAATTTAATATTGAAAGTTAAAATTGTGAAGATAGGCATATTATGGCATCCATGTGTGTTAAGTGATACTAATACCAGTGGAAATGACATTTTCAAGGAGCCGTTGATTACAGAATGAAGTGAGATCAAACAGAAGATGGAATAAATTAGATTTCTTGGTGAGAATAAGCAACGAAGTATAACACAAAAGTTCTCAAAAGTGAGGCCACAGCAAAATGAAGCAATAACGATTTGATGCTGACACCAGAGTGGCGGCCGTGTGAAAAATTGGGTGCCGGTCAGGGCGGGTAACAGTTTGTGTGAAGAAAACAGCAAACAGGAAGGGGGAATGGAAAAACCCGAAGATTTCCACCGCCTAGTCCGGATGTAAAGGGAGACAGAGTGTAGGAAAACAACGGGAAGAATTCATGGGAAAACCGACAAAAGCTGATTAGATTCCCAACTTCACACCGAAAGCTTTTTTCCTTCGCGTTGGCACCGAACCGTCATTCACAGTGGAGTGAAATTAATAATTAAAATCCAATTTGCCAAAAATGGGAAAACTTCCTGCAAACAATACATTTGATGGCAATTATGTTTTTGCAACAACAAATGAAAAAAGCTAACAACTTTCGACACGGGAAAACATTCCATTCCTTGTCAGTAGTGCAAGATGTCTAACGGGATATATCACGGGGACTGGATTGATTCAATGGTTGTGTAACTCACCTTGCAGTAGCAAGGATCGCCTCCGTGCTTATGTAATATTTGCTAAATTTTGTCATGAACCTTCGATCTTAGCGCCTTAGTCCTAAACATTTCTAGTAGTGAAGCAGTAACACACACACAACAAACATCACAATTTTGGGAAAACCTTCTGTTGCGTGCGTCGCCGTGTCCAACGTCGACAACAGAGACGGTGCGTGCGGCATCTTCTGTCAAGAATATCGACTATTTTCCACGCGTCGTCGTTGTCTGCTTTTTCGGTCTGCCTTTTACTGCCGACAGTTCAAGGATAACGGCTGTGATGCGCTTCTTTTTGTATCTTCCTCGCATTTTTTTACTTCACAATGTGACGAGCTGGTGATTCCCCAAAGGACTGAGGACGATATCTGTCGTCTTAGATAGATAGGAAAGCTTCTTTCTTGGAAGAACAGCAACATTGTACGAGCTGATGCTGCGTCGCTTTTTCACCAGCCATCTTCCAGTATAGCAATGATGGTAGCACCGTAACGATGCCCCCAATATTTTATCGCACTGCTGTTGATGTTGATGAGAACTTCTAGGACGTAACGGAGAAACGTGACGTAAACCCGCTTCGCGTACTCTACTTAAGTTTAATGAACGTCTATTTCGACCAAAAGCGATAGAATTTCCAGAATGTTTGCAATATTTTCAAGGGCATCATTCGAGAGAGAAATGGGAGGGTGGTAACGATATTTTGTTGTTGGTAATACAAACGATATGCTTTTGATGCAATGAAGAAACATGTTGCAGAACGTCTGATTGCAGAATGGATATTGTATTCAAATGAATAGCACACAACACAGCCAGTTGAAAAAGCGAGGTCTATTTAAAATTCGACCATCATAATTCCATTAGATATCAATAATGATTTTTAACTATCGTAACGAAACCACTTTTTGACAATCACGCCAATGATGAAGGTTCACTTACATGAGCATAGTTCAAGGATGATTTTTTAAAAAGGACGTATCTGCAAACGAAGATTCCAACGTCAAATTGCCGAAATTCTTAACATGCCCACACAATCTATAAACACCATCAGAAAGGGTAATGTTTCCCAACAAAATAGCGATGTTAGTTTGCGTGGGGGAGCTAAGGGTTTCAACAAATTGACGTTTGAATCTTTGTATACAATTGATACAATTGATTCCTTGAAGAAGGTAGAGTATATGTGATCCAAACTTAGGAATTAAACTCAAAACCATTTGTGTGCTCTGTGCGTAATATGCTCCAACACACTGAAAGCCATAATCTCTTACTTACACGCAAATGGCGTGAACATTAAGTGCAAGTGTGAAATTCTTATATCCTCTGCATGTTCCTTACAACAAATGTAATAGCAGTGGTGGAGAATTGAAAATAAGGCGAAAATAAATATTTTGGCCGAGAAATTGCATCTTTACTCCTATAAGGCCTTTACTTTGATGAAAATTTCAAATAGGGTGGTCCTAAAAATTACCAGAAATAATTTAACCTTTTTTTGTTCATACCATTAGATGAAAACTTGTACAAAGTTGTAGATAACGTAATTTCAAGAAATTTTTCAAAGAATGCATAATAGTGGAAAATGTTATGATTATTTTTCTGCAGCATTGATGATTTATGATAGGGTGTTCCTAAAATCAATAGTTGCTATAGAATAGCTCTTTTATTTTAAATTATACGAAACAGGTTGTCTTCTCCAACTTTTGACTACTCATTAAATAGCGGCCTGACGCAGTGGTTAAAATCAATAACTCTCACGCCAAAGTCATGAGTTCAAATTTTATCCTTGAGAAGTCACGAATAACCCAAGAGCGTTAAACTGACTATAACAATAATAATAAAAGCACATTTTTCCTGAAGGAATTGCCTCGTTTAATCCTTAACTAAAAAAGTTACGACGTTTTCTGTAAAAATAATGCCATTTTCAATCGTTCTTCAGATGGGATGGTTCAATGCACATTTTGCAAGTAAAATGAAAAGGTTCTTCTTCTATAGCTTTAATACGTCTCTTCTGGGACTTTCAGGGTGGCCATTGATCCAGCAAAACCGAGAGAGCCGGGAACATTCATTATAATTAATTCTTTTAAAATTTTGAATCTACCGCTATACGCTTAGATAGTTTTTTAAGAACAGGGACCTTACTGGTGAGGTTGAAACGAAATTTTTGACCAAAGATCGCTTGTATGAAAAAGTGTTGGTTGCATAATGTGGAATATTTCTTTGAAACTTCTCTCAGGATATCTTTGAAAATTTCTTAAGGATTTCCTTAGGTTCATTCCAAAATGTCTTCAGAATTACTTTTATTTTCAGGATTTCCCTCAATAACCTTTTGATTATATGCGATATTTCAAATACATTTTCTCCATAATACTCAAAATTCTGCTCAGAACACTTTAAGAAATCTCTCGCGCGAGAATTAACGTTATCGTCTCTCCATTATATTCAATAACATTCGCTTGGAATATTCCTGGAAATCTTTTGGACTTGCATTAAGTCTCGAGACTTAAGAAAAGCATTATCCCAAAATTTCCTTGGATTTCAACTCAGAATTTCATATAAATTTTCCTCATAGTTTCCTTGAAATGCTTCTCATAATGCTATTGAGCAGGATCTCTTGAAATTTTCTAGCAATTCTCCAGAAACTTTCCATAGAATTTCTTTTGGAAATTGCTACAGAATCTCCTGGAACACTACTCAGAGTTTCTTAGGAAATATGCCATAAATTTTCTGATATTTCCTCCCAAACTGTTTGATATATCTTCAAAATTCTTTTGAATTCTGGAGTTTACGTTTAGCTATGGAATGGCTGTATAATTCATCTTTTTATTTTTTAATGAAAATCGGTTATAGCTTTACCACAAAAGATATAGCAAATTTGTTGCTTCAGCAGAAACATGCGTAATGAAAAGTTCTGAAAGGGTTTAGGATGCATAATTTACGAGAAATAAATGTAAAAAATGTTTACGTAATAAAACGTATTTTTAGGGATCACCCTTCGCTACTTATTAAAACATGATATAAAAGATGGACCATTAGAGATAGAAAATTGATTTCTTGAGAAAAGTTGCTTCAAATAATCAGTTCTACAACTTTGTCCAACATTATAACTATTTGCACTTTATTTTAAAACCATGTTTTTCCAGAATTAATATTTTTGTATTAACGTTCACTGTGCATTTGGAAAAACAAACTTTGTTCGAAAATTCAGCTGACATTTAAATGTTTAAAAAAAAAACCTTCCGAAGATCACATTACAGAATCTGTTCATGAGGAGAACATTACAAATTCTGTACAATTTTTATGCAAATCCATAAAAGAATCTAACATTTATCGGTTGGGTGCAGGATGCTTTCCGTTTATTCTGGTTAAACAAATGTTGTATGAAATTATGGAATAATAATTGTATGTGTAAGTAACAAGAAGGGATTACAAAGATTGTGTTTGGAACATAAAACCTGCAAATTTAGCTTTGACAGAGTCACAGAGAGCGATTTTCTGAACGCCTCTTCGCGAAAAGTGAAGAGCGAAGAGTGTGTGAGAAAAATTACAAAATCGCATATTGCGACTCTCATGTAGCAAAATTGGCTGGTAGGGGAAATGGCTCTTATGTTGGCCTATGGATCTAAGATTGGGTCCATCGCTAAAAATCTGCTATTTATTAATTTTATCTAGCTGAACGCGTCATTGGGACGGTACTAATGGATATTTTTGGTTGTTATTGAAAATTTAGTCGATTGCTGAATTTATGTATGGGCCCAAATAAGGGGCATTTAGGCCGACATTACATCCATTTCCCCCATTTATGTGTCAAACACAAACTTCACAATCTTTTTTTGTTGCTTACACAAACAAAATATTACCATAGTATCTTATTATTACATAATTTAGTAAAACATTTTCTTGGCCAAAATGAATGGCCAAAAAATATTTAAACTAGTAAATAACAGCACATATCCATCTGGTTTGGAATCTCGCGATATGTGATAAACCCAGTCAAGGTAATCGTCTCTAAGTAAC